CTGCAGCCCTAAGAATTTCTGCTTGGTATAATGAAAAGTCAGCTGCTGCAGACGCAAGTTCTCCATGAGATGGGAAATAAGAACCAAGGCCTGAAGGTCTCCAGCCTGCGAAGAGGGGAGAGAAGGTTTTGCAGTGAAGGCAAAGGGTAGGCTCTCAGTTTGGGCCTCCTACACAAAGGTTGTGCACATCAGGCTACAGAGCAGCCACAGATCAGCACAGACTTGCTTCCCTGGGCTCTGTGCTGCCTGGATGTAAACCACTTTTAGGGCATACTGGTCTCATACCTCAGCACGCACTCACACTTTTTTACAGCTAGAGCTGGCATCTGGCTGTCTTAAAGCTGAGCTTGGGCCACTGATACACTCTCTGTGTGAGCCCACGCAGACATGTCCTCAGGTAAGCATACTCCCACTCCAGCAAATGACTGCGTGCTGTCAGAGAGGGGTATCTGTGCCCCACTGCACATTGCACCCTGCTCCATGCATGGCTGGGGAAGTCTTCTCTGGTAGAGACATTGCAGATGATGTTCCTGCAACAGCTTTGGAGGCATGGCCCGAGGAGGCATGGGTTAGGTCTGGGGGGCTGCAAGAGTCACAGAGTTGCCCAGAGTCTTGGCAACCCAGACAGGTTTCCAGGGCAGGCAGGAAAGGGGAGAAGAGGGAGAACCTCATCTGCCCATGAGTCAATGGCCACATAACCTAGTGGAAAACTGCCCTGGAGCTGCTTCCCCTAAGGCGTAAGGACTGACTTTCACCTCCAAGAGGTACGACATGGAATCTTGTCCACATTTGTGCTGTACCACAGTTATTCATAAATATTTTATTTGAGTGGCTTTGTACCACACAACCTCCAGGTTAGTATGCAACTGTACAAACCAGGACCTCTCAAAATACGTACAAGAGAGAACCTGCTATACTGGGCTTTGATTTTGCTCGAGACCTTTGTGCATTACAATCACATTGCTGTTAACAATGCAGGGCTTAAATTCAAAATGCCTTTTCTGTATAAATTTGGCATTTCTACGTAATGCGATTTCTATTATAGAAACAGTAAGCAGCCAGAGAGCAATACCTGTGCTGGGAGGTACGCTCATTAAGCCAACAGGCAGGAAGGCTACCGACTAGAATAAGCCACAGCTGATGATGCCAGGGACTTCAGCTATTGGGGACTAGAGAAAAAAAAGCCTCTGACAGTCTCCCTGGCTATTTTAATTCTCCTGAGAAAAAGACTGACTTTTAAAGTTTGGGTCAAAGAAAGTTCAACTCTTGCATAATGGGTTTAAGATTCTTCAATCTCCCCAACAAGCAGGAAATAAGAAAACCTGAGCCCTGTCTGATGGTAATTATATGACAGGTTTCATAGAACCATAGAATCATAGAATCATTAAGGTTGGAAAAGACCTTCAAGATCATCAAGGCCAATCGTCAACCCAGCACCACCATGCCTGTTAAACCACGTCCTGAAGTGCCACATCTACAGGTTTTTTGAACACCTCCAGGGATGGGGACTCAATCACATCCCTGGGCAGCCTGTTCCAATGCCTGACTGCTCTTTCAGTAAAGAAATTTTTCCCAATATCCAACCTAAACCTCCCCTGATGCAACTTAAGGCCATTTCCTCTCATCCTATCACTAGTTACTTGAGAGAAGAGATCAACGCCTGCCTCACTACAACCTCCTTTCAGACAGTTGTAGAGAGCGATAAGGTCCCCCCTCAGCCTCCTCTTTTCCAGACTGAACAGCCCCAGTTCCCTCAGCTGCTCCTCGTAAGACTTGTTCTCTAGACCCTTAAGGAGCCTCATTGCCCTTTTCTGGGCACGCTGCAGTACCTCAATGTCCTTCTTGTAGTGAGGGGCCCAAAACTGGACACAGTACTCGAGGTGCAGCCTCACCAGTGCTGAGTACAGGGCCACCATCTCCTCCCTGCTCCTGCTGGCCACACTATTCCTGACAGAAGCCAGGATGCCATTGGCCTTCTTGGCCACCTGGGCACACTGCTGGCTCATGTTCAGCCAGCTGTCAACTAGCACCCCCAGATCCTTTTCTGCCAGGCAGCTTTCCAGCCACTCTTCCCCAAGCCTGTATCTTGAGGTTGTTGTGACCGAAGTGCAGGACCCGGCACCTGGCCTTGTTAAACCTCATACAAATGACCTTGGCCTATCAATCCAGTCTGTCCAGACCCCTCTGCAGAGCCTTCCAACCCTCAAGAATATAGACGCTCCCACCCAACTTGGTGTCATCTGCAGACTTGCTGAGGGAGCACTCAATCCTCTCATCCAGATCCAGTTTGTTGCTGGCCTTTGGTCTACGGCAAAGCTGATGAGCGAGCATGGCCACAAGACCTTCTTCCCTTGCTGGGGGGATTCCTAGCCCATAGCTGTTTCTCCCCTTCTGCCAAGCCCAGTGTCATTTTTTTTGGGGTGCACCCAAACACAGCACCCATGGGGCAGGCCAACCCCCCCAGGCAGTCCCTCATCCCCAGCCACAACATCCCAGCTGCATGCAATGCGTGCCTGAAGGTTGCAGCCAGGATCGCTGCACCCAACACCAGAGCCAAGCTTTCCCAGGGTATTGCAAACCCTGGGAGTGTACTTGAAGTGAGGAATTTGTTCCTAACATTTTGATATTTCTCCAGATCTAGGTGTACCGAGAGATATCCCAGCACCCAGGCCTGGCCCTGGTTAATAGGGTGTAGAAAGGGGACGGGTGAGTGGGTGCCCGTCAGGTAGTATCAGCGTTCTTTCTGTGAGCTTATAAAACAGCGTAGGAGAAAAAAACATCTGAGGCCACAAACACAGTTTGTAGTTCATATTTTATTGCTTTGTACAAGTGAAAAAAATAGGGCAAAAAGGAGAAGTGCAAGACTGAAATGTAACGTGAAAGGCCACAGTGGGAACCCACAACTGCCACTGAAGGGTGATTTGTAGCCTGGTGGCACAGGAAAGCATTATGACTAAGGTAGAGTGGTTCCCCTCTTTTTTAAATAAATAAAATGGCAGAGCTTAAAAAAAAAAGTGGAAGCCAACTAGTGCTGACAATCACCCTTGTCACAAATAACTACACTGAGGCTATTAAAATAAGGTGACCAGCAAGTGCATAGACCCAAAATACCTGAAAACACTTGGGGTGGAGATGGAGCTGCTGGAGGGAGCTCTTTCGACAATCTTAATGTTCAGAGGTTTTAATGTAATTAAAGGCCATTTTTGTTGCAAGTTTAAACATTGTCAGCAAAGCTGCACGGGCCTGCCTCTGGAGAACCAGCAAGCAGGAGGGAAATGCAAGTAATAAACAGATTGCACGGTGAGATCCCAGAAGAGCAGTGCCCAAGCTGAGAAGTCAACATTTTTACAAAGCTTGGCTTTAGTTTATATTCCTCTAGAGGAAAAGTGACTTGGATAATTAAGCTAATGGAGATTTTCCAAGCTGTTCAATACTGAAAACATGTATCTTGTCCTCAGCTTAATGGTAGGCACCATATAAACATCTTAAAAAAAAAAATACCCTATGTTTTCAATTGTCCTAAGTATTCTGGGAACATAAACACAGCTGGAATATTACTTTAATGAAAGTGCAGTGCTAAAGAAGTACCTATGCAGGAAAAGGGATATGCTGTAACTTGTGTCGCTTGCCCATTCGAATACTTGGTAGCTATCTGCCCTCACCTTGCCCTTGAAGCGGCTGCTCTGCACGACTTACTTTCAAGCCTTCTCTCTTTCCTTTGCAGCAGCTAAAAATGGGACTTATATCTGCAGAGCAGAAATAAAAATCCCCTCCTGCCCAGATCATTGCTTCTTTGATCCCAAAGAAGAAAACAGGCTTCAGGCAGGCAAAGTTGCTATTCTGAGTAACGCCATGTCCAGGGGAGCCATGCTTCTCCCTT